CTAATGCTGTTCTCTTCATGCTTCCATATATTACTGTATGAAAACTAACCCACCCTGGGTTCCGTAATACAGATTTAGACTTCATTGGATTATCAGTATCAATATAGTGCAATGCTATTACATGCGTTTTTCAGAAAACCGCATGAATGGGGGTCGATTGAAAACAATAGACTAGCTGTGTCTGTAGCCCACTTAGTAAGTTTTTCTAAACTCTCTGGTTTGGCTCTCAGCCTATCACTGGCTAGTCCTGCCTATTTGCCGAGCCTTACATTAAAGCAAACCTTAACTTCGTTGAGGTGAAACTGTAATGGGGCCGGAGTGCTTCTTTTGAAGGGGCCTTTGATTTGCAGTACTTATTGAGAAATCTCATTTCTTCTGTACTGGCCCTTTATATGCATGCATAGATGTGAAAAAAAAAAAAAATCGTAAAATGTCTTTAAATGTTTGCGTGCTACTGCGTTACATTTTGAGACATGGTTTTTCCATAAGCTGGTAGTTGAGTACAAAGTCTCGATGTGTTTATGGCTTGATACCCTCTGTGGACCATGGAGGGTTTAGACCTGTTGCCACAGCAGTTTAGGGAACCACATGATTGACATATCTGTGTGAACTGTGGAGGGCACCCGCCTCGGACAGCACATATTTCATTCATTACCCCTGCCCTTTTAGTTGGCATCCTCCTTTTTACTTTTCTGTAAACAAATGGGTTTGAGATCTGCAACCCTTGAACCACAATAGCTTTTGTTGACTTCATCAACTCACAGCTGTGTACACTGCAGCTCTTTTACTCGTGGTATCCTTTGCTCAAAGACATGGGGTCTGTAGTATAATTGGGAACTGCCTTTGTTTGCAAAGTACAATGCAATTAACATGGGCTTTTTTTTTTCCTACCAATTCCTAAATGACCAACACAACTAAAAGCATGGCAGGGATTGGTAATGCATTGGCTCAGATTTCAAATGTTAGTTTGGAAACTTTTTATTTTTTTTACTATAAAATAGACAAATAGATGTGGATGTTTTTTTTTTCTTACTGGATTGCAGTGCTGAGGTCCCTCTGGACTGTATCGGGCTCCTTCTCTGCCTATGTCACACAGGTCTGCAAACCTAATGTGCGTGTGCGGTGAGAGCAATTAGGCCTTCCCGATAGGAAAGCATTGCGTGGGGACGTTCAGCAAAGTTAAACTCTATGTAAACATTGCAGTTTCTCTACAATTGCAGTATTTTACATTTCAGGGTGAAGGAACACTTTATTAAAAACACGAAGATGTATTAGTAAAACTAAAATGTAGGAACTAATCTGTGGCAAGCACCGTGCGCATTAGACCTCCCCCGTTGGAAAGCATGAGGTATGTCCAGTGTAGTTTCAAGGAGTAAAACCTTCGTGAAACGGCATGAAGCACCTCTAGTGAATGTCTGGTACAATGCCACAAGAGGCAGTCTTGGCATTGCTATGTTAACATTGCAGTTTCTGTAAACCTGCAATATTCTACATTGCAGGGCTAAAGGGGACAGGGACACTGCAACCTTATCACTTCAATGAGATGGAGTGCTCTGGGTGCCTATAGTGTCCCTTTAATAGTCTTTGTTGGAAAAAATAAACTATAAAGTAACAAATATTTGACTCTTACATCGTTTTTTGTAGTATAGGATGAAGCTGTTTACAGAGATCTTTTACAGCCACTCCTCACTTACAGACAGTCTTCCATTCCTACGATCCAGTTGTAGAACGAATTGGTCGGTGTGTGAGGAGTTAAGGGATTCTCTGCTCTGGTGCGTTCATCTGTTCAGGGAAACTTCTGCACGTCGTGGAGATTCCCTGCTCTGGTGCGCATGTCTATGTTCGGTAAACTTCCCCAAGCATAGACGAACGCACGAGAGCAGGGAATCCCTCTAATCTATATTCGGTAAACTTCCGAGCATAGACAAGCGCACCAGAGCAGGGAATCTCCACGACGGCTCACACTTACGCTTGGTCGTAAGTGCGAGCCGTCGTAAAAGAGGTAGGTTGCTAAATGAGGACCACCTGTATTTCCTTTTTTTTTTTTTTTGGTTGTGCATAGTTGACACAACAGCTGGTATGGGTATTACAACTTTAGACTTTATCATGACAGTTGCGAAATCTGCACATTTTTAAATGAGGTTAAACAGAGCAAGTAAGCAGAATATTGTAGTATAGGTACTGTGGGGTGATTTATGGGCTGTAGAGTATGTGTTTCAGAGGCTCAGATATGGATTGGTCTGTTGACCCTAATGTGCTAGGACCGAGCTCTTATGAATCGTGTATGGGTTGTAAGTGATTGAGTCGTGTACCTCTGTGTGTAAGTAAGGTAGAGCGTCAAGCCATGTTGGTAGCTCCGGTGTGTAGTTATTAATAGAGGGTGAATACATGGCACTTGTTATGGTGAGCATGGTGTTTGGTTGGTCTGATTTTGTGTCCGAATGCGTATATGTACAGCTCCTCCGTGGAATGCGTATGATGGGAGCTGAGGGGGGGGTGG